AAGAAATCAAGTTTCTCTGGGCTGTATCAGCAACATTACATCTGCCCTGCAATAGCTGCAGAAGCAAATTACAAAAGTAGAAGACAAAACGTATGGGTTCCCCAGGCAAAAAATGTAAATAAAACCCCTCAAACCTCCCCATAAAAGTCAGACTGTCCTTTAAAGACAGATATAGTAAAGTGCTGGACCAGCTTGGACAAAGTGAAAGAACTAGAGAAAGACAGAGGGGGAAACAATAGAGAATTTTGCTTGGCAATGCCAACACCTTCCCTCCTCTGGTCACTTATGCTTAAATATGCAACAGAAAATAATCAAAAACTTCAGAGAGATCACGCAAATGGAATGAAACTTCCCTGGGAAATCAAATTGCATTACCAAACCCGTCTCCCCCTTCAAAACTCCTCAGATATTCACACCAAGCAGGAGTCTCCAAATTCTCCACAGAACAGGTTTCAGGGCAAAATCCAGGGCAATTTAATCTACAGAAACATCAAAAACAAGAATCCCCTGAATATTATACATGTTATTGTGAAATGTATACAAGAATTGCTTTTTTCATTTGCCTGTGGAGCTGACAAGCAGGAAATATTATCTCGTCTGCAGGTAACCATCATCAGTTTGCCGGTCCCAAAATGCAGAATTAATGGCTCACAGGGCCAGTTCCATGTCCAAGGGCCACAAGCAGTCTCTTGGGGGTGCCAATACCTAGTGAGTAACCCAGGTGGTAACAATGTGGCCGATGGGGAGGCAGCTGTGGCAAATCCGTTTGTAACTGCACATGCAGAGTTATCTCTGCCCCACCACATCAAACATGTTCAAGCTGATCAGGTGCATCTAAAGAGTAATTTGAACTGCCAGGTCTGGTTGAGGACTACCTGTAAGCAAGGCGACAGCCGAGCCAATGGGTGGACAACCATCCCTGCTTTTGACCAATTCCTGAGGGAAATGGAGACCTGGTGGGGAATCCGCCTAGGTTAACTGAGCTGGCAACACATTGCGAGGGTGCTGAACCCTGCCTCATTCCTTCCAAGTGCCTAGGCCTGGAACTTATCCTGAAGACTCCTGGATCCGTCAGACTTCATCCACTTGGATGCTGGTGTCAGTCTGGCATTTTATTTTACTCTACAACCACCACCACCACCACTCATGTTGAGACAAGGAACAGGAATGTAAAAACCACCATTACTTTTTGATCCTTTAAAGCACAGGTTGTTTAATCTTAGCAAGATAACTCATAAGATTATCTAATGTACCAGTGGCCACATCGGAAGTTAGCTTTCAATGTACAGAAAACAGGAGCAGGAAGGGGAATAGCAATACCGCCTGTACCCACAGAAACTGCCACGTATTCCTTTATTTCTACAAGGAATGCAACAGGATAAAGTGGAAAGCTCCAACACCACCATTATAGTATTTTTTAAAAAATCCATGTCATCCGTAGATATGGCATTTTTTAGAATAACATAAGCAAAAAACAAAACAACACAAAAACAAGTCAGTGCCCAGAGACACACCAATGTGGACAATGTACAGATTATTTTAAATCATCTATTAAGACTAAAATACATCCCCTCAAAAGAGAATGGATAGATTGACTTACATAACACAACCACAGTGACAAGCATACACACAAAAGCCGCTTGCATGTGTCGTTAAAACTTCCAGAACAAAGTCATCTGGGCCAGCTTCCAGGTCGAGTCTGTTTGATTATTCTGCTTTCAAGGCTAGCACTCCTTTTGCTTTCAAAGGATCTGTTTTAAGCTTTAAAGTGTTAACGATTCAAAGCAATAACAAGAGCCAGTTGTGAAATAGAGCCAACCAATCACTGAGGTTCATTTCAAAGGTATTGGGGAGTATTGAGGCTCTACTTTTTCCCATAGCCACCTTGGATCCTTGTGGCAATGCTGTACTTTGGATATGCTACACGATCGGGAAACCACTCAAAGGAAGGATGGCTACAGGAGTCGTTCAAAAAGCCATGTACAAGTGCAACCTCCTTCATAGGTAACAGGAGTTCTAGTACAAACAAGTGGACTCCTGTTTACACCATGTTCTGGACTGTCCATTTTTGACAAAGATGTTTTCCCTTGTTGCGGGGTAGCATTTCTCTTTTTTTCTTAATTTCATAGTGGGTACCTCAGATCAGCAGAGATGCATTTCCCTGTAGTCTCTCCTTTTTAAGTGGTAAAATCCTGGATAAGCAGGGGATTGCCAAAGGAATCATGGAAGGCTGAACCACACATGCCATTTCAGAGCTTGATGTCTGCACCATGCTGTTGACATACATGAGTAAAGAAGCCATTGCAGATCACACATTCCCAAAAGAGCTTTTATATTGACTCTGCACAGAAAGCTTTGCAATTATGTCAGTCTGTATATCCCAGTCTGTATATTCAAGTCCTGCAATCGAGCATGTGGCGGGCCCTCTAAAGACTAGCTCATCCTTTTGCACCCCACTCTCATATGAATACATGAAACAATATCATATTGAGTCATGCCATGGGTCTACAAGGCCAGAATTACTTACTCTGGCTGAAGTTCTCCAGGGTCTCAGGTAGAGGGCTTTCACATCACCCACTGCCTGATCCTTTTTTGTTTTGTTTCCAGCTGGAGATGTCATATGTCTTGAAGTCTTCTAAGAAACACTGAAAAAAACAAGTAGCTGCAGAGGAAAGTCAATCTCTGTACACACCCACAGCAAGATTTTAGAGGAAGGTCTCAAAAATATATTCCCCTCCATTTCCACATTTCCAATATGTGTGTGTAAAGTGCTGTCGGGTCTCAGCCGACTTACGGCAACTCCAGGAAGGGGATTTCAAAGCAAGTGAGAAGCAGAGATGGTTAGCCATTGCCTTCTTCTACAAAGTCATCCTAGGAGGTCTCCCTTCCAAGTATTGACCCTACTTAGCTTCTGAGGAGATGGGGCTATGGCATGCTATGCTGCACTCCCTCCCTCCCAATCTGCACATGAGAATTATCAGTGATGAAAACGTTAGTGAAAATGGGGGAGTAAAACATTACATTGATATTGTGTTATCAACACAGAACATAACAGAGGCCATACTGGATCCGAACGCTGAGCCATCTAGTCTAGCATCCTGCTACCAACTATGGACACTCAGATGGTATAGGGATGCACTCACTTGCTCATTTCCCCTCCCCAAGATCTCCAATTTGAAACAAGTCAATCACAAAAAGAAGCTGTGGGAGTGGCAGACCCCACTTTCCCATTCAGTTGGAGGACTGGGTGTGTCAAGATGAGTTTTACTGCAGCAACCCCACAGTTATATCAGCATTTACCACTGCCAAGATAAAGGAATCTGAGGAGGTGGGCCATAGATAGCATAGACATTGTATACCATTGACCACAGTACAGATATGGTGGTTCTGAGTCTTCCTGAGATGGGGGAGGCAGGAAGGCACGCTAGCTAGCACATAGATCGACAACCAAACTAGAACGAACTGCCCTATGGCTATATCCACAAGACAGTAATTTTCTGTTTTCCTACTGATGAATCCTCACAGCAGTTTTTCCCACAATCCTTTGCCTCAGGCCCCTACAGATGCTCCCTCCGATACACATGCATACCAACCAGAGGGCATTCTCAGGCTTTCAGAAAAGAAACCAGTAATTGACATGTCGCTACAGCAAGACTCAATTACTGACTTTAAACTACAGAAATATGTCAGTTATCGTTTGGCTACTGACATACCTTAAAACTGACACATCATTGTGGTTTGATGCTACAGTGTGTCAATGACCTTTTTTCTTTTCTTTTTAAGTGAGAAAAAGCCCTCTGATGGTGCGGGAGAGATGGCAGCCGTGGAGGACTGAGACAAGGCAAATGGCATCAATGCCTCCCTTCCTGTCGGTGAAGCATGTCAAGGTGAACTGGGTATGATCTTTCCCCAAAGATCCCACCAAAGCAGGTTTGAGGAAGGACGACAGGAAAGTGAAGGAGAACTCAGAAACAGGACAATTGCAGGATTACGTGTAGATGCTAAGAAAACACCCAACCCCACTCCAGAGTTTCGACATGGATCCAGAGCAAAACCCCCTGTGTGGATGCAGCCTGCATGGACCTTTATCAGAGCTCTCAGCTCCTCCTTCCCCTTTACTCATAGTTCAGCTTCCTACCAGCAGCAATAACGAGGGTGAGGGTGATATTTGACATATCAATGAAACACCAGTGGTGCTTAATTTGCATACAGAACCGCCTGCATGCATGGGTTTGTGTGCATGTCAGTCGATTTTTTTTTTAAACGCCTAAATGAAAAGTAAGGTGACATCTAGACTTTGTCTCAGGGGAACGTCCCGGCAGCAGCTGTTGAGCCATACAAGCCAAGGGCTTGAAAGGCTTTGTTAAATGACTCAAAAGGAAGAAAGGGGGGGAGGGAGGCTAAACGACGAGGGAAATTTCCAACCATTCCACCAGTGTACACGGAGGCTTGACCAGTCAGTTCCTATTTAGTCACTCAGAACAACCACTCGTTTCCCAACACAGAGCTTACTCATTTGCAAGATTTTTTTTCTGCACATGCCCATAATATTCTTCACCACTGGGGGCAGCTTTACATAAGACTGCATTCACTGAAACCAAAGCAACAGTCAGTCGGAGGAGCTTTCAGAATGACAGTACGCAGAAGTGAACAGTGCTTGTTCATTGTACAGGGTCATCCCGGCTCCTGTGCTCCAACGCAGCTTCCCTAGCTGGATCGGGGGGCTCACAATGCGAACTGCTGCCCAATGGAATACAGACAGATGAATCCAGAGCCCTGAGCACCGCTCTGGGGGAGGGAGATTCATCATGCTTTGCCCAAGGAGATTGTAAAGAAGCCAGGGTTTTTTCCCCCTCTCTCTTCAATGTAAAAGATGCAAAAAGGCACCATCCATGAAGATCCTATTACCTAGGAAGAACTTGACATTCTGCTGCAAAAGCCGTGCTGGGATTTATTTATTCTGGGAGGATTCTGTGTGGCTGGCAAAGAATAATGTTCCGAAATCGGTCCATCTCCCAAGGGGTCCAATTTTTCTTCCTGGGTGTCAGCAAGCCCTGACTCACCACAGAGCAGCTGACAGGGGCTGTCATGCTTGTGGCACCCTAAGCAAAAGCAAAAGACCTGAGGACGACCTTTGAACACCACAAAGGATGGGTATGTTTTCCATTTTCATTCATTCCTAGTTGCCCGACAGTAGCAGCCTCTGCACCGACTCTGTATTAATGACCCTATAGATTTGCTTCCAGACAAGCTATGACTCGAATTAAATTACCTGGGGACTGTATGTGAATCTAAGAAGCTCTAATATGTGTAGGGGAGATTTCTTTTTTCCTTTATTAAAATTGTCGGGGGGGGGGAGATAAAACAGGTTGTAAAGTGTTCATTTTTGGGGGGGGAGAGATAAAACAGGTTGCAAAGTATTCATCCTACTTCGGGGGGGAGGGGGGTTCCTGATGATGCATTTAAGCTGCAGTTTCAAGCATGAATGAAAACAGATCTGGATTGTTTCTTGGGGGGGATAACTTTTCTAAGTTGTTTTTATTTTCAGGTTTCAATGTATTTAGGCTACTGAGCGGATCAGCTGTAGCCCTGGTAATAGCCCCTACTGTATTACTGACAATGCTTTCATCTGCTGAACGAGGATGCCCTAAAGGCTGTAGGTGTGAAGGCAAAATGGTCTATTGCGAATCCCAGAAATTACAGGAGATACCCTCAAGTATATCAGCTGGTTGTTTAGGTTTGTCCCTGCGATACAACAGCCTCCAGAAACTAAAATACAATCAGTTTAAAGGTCTTAATCAACTCACCTGGCTCTATCTAGACCATAACCACATCAGCACCATTGACGAAAATGCTTTCAATGGAATACGCAGGCTCAAAGAGTTGATTCTGAGTTCCAACCGAATTGCCTATTTTCTTAATAACACCTTCCGACCTGTAACGAACCTCCGGAACTTGGATCTCTCCTATAATCAGCTGCAGTCCCTGGGATCAGAACAGTTCAGGGGCTTAAGGAAACTGCTGAGTTTACATTTGCGGTCTAATTCCCTGAGAACAATCCCCGTGCGGATTTTTCAGGACTGTAGGAACCTTGAACTGTTGGACCTGGGCTACAACAGGATCCGAAGCTTAGCAAGGAACGTCTTTGCAGGCATGATCAGGCTGAAGGAGCTTCACCTGGAGCACAATCAGTTTTCTAAGCTTAACTTGGCACTTTTCCCAAGGCTCATCAGCCTTCAGAACCTTTATTTACAGTGGAATAAAATCAGTGTTATAGGGCAAACAATGTCCTGGACTTGGAGCTCGTTACAAAGGCTTGATTTATCTGGCAATGAAATAGAAGCTTTCAGCGGACCTAGCGTTTTCCAGTGTGTGCCCAATTTACAGCGCCTCAACCTGGATTCCAACAAGCTCACATTTATCGGGCAAGAGATTTTGGATTCTTGGATATCTCTCAACGACATCAGCCTTGCTGGGAATATATGGGAATGCAGCAGAAACATTTGCTCCTTAGTAAACTGGCTCAAAAGTTTTAAAGGGCTGAGGGAAAATACAATTATCTGTGCCAGCCCCAAGGAGCTGCAAGGGGTGAACGTTATTGACGCAGTGAAAAACTACAGCATCTGTGGCAGAAGTACGACGGAGAGGTTCGATCTGCCACGAGCTGCTCTCCCCAAGCCAACCTTTAAACCCAAAGTGATCAGGCCTAAGCATGACAGCCAGCCCCCTCTGCCCCCCACTGCTGGGTCCACTGAAGCCAGCTCGGAGCCCGAGCACGACACAGAACACATCTCCTTCCATAAAATCATCGCGGGAAGCGTGGCCCTTTTCCTGTCGGTGCTTGTGATCCTCCTGGTGATCTACGTCTCGTGGAAGCGTTACCCGGCCAGCATGAAGCAGCTGCAGCAGCGCTCTCTCATGCGGAGGCACAGGAAAAAGAAGCGGCAGTCCCTGAAGCAGATGACTCCAACCACACAGGAATTTTATGTCGATTATAAGCCAACCAACGCCGAGACCAGTGAAATGCTGTTGAATGGAACGGGACCCTGCACGTATAGCAAATCAGGCTCCAGGGAATGTGAGGTATGAGGCATTGTGATTCATTTTTTAAAAGAGATTTTTAAAAGCTGGGTATTAATGGCACAGTGTTGAACTGGAGTGATAAAAAGGGAGCTTTTATCTTTCACGTTTCTGACGCAACACTCTCTGATCTCTTTTGCCACATAATGTTGGCCTTTAAAAAAAATCTTTCCTCCATTAATTCACTGAATGGGGGGAGGTTATGAATATAAAATTAGCAGAATACCTGTTGTACAGCCTCTTTACTGAATGCATTCCTTTGGTTGGTTGGTTTCTTTTAAGTAGAAAACTTCTTTCATGGTTAATGACATTTATCTGCAGTGTTGATTTCTGTCATGCAGGATGCAGGTCATCATTAAGTGTGGCTTCTCCAGAAACAAAGAGTGGTAGTGACAGCTCTTAAGCAGCAAGTGTTCTGAAATACACTGTGCCTCATGGGACGTGTTAAATCAGCCAGGTGCCGTAGTGCCATATACATTCCAAAGCTGGCTCTGGTTTCTAGATGGTGCAGAAACAACCCTGAAAGTATGGCTGATTCCTCTTCAGCGCAAGCCAGCCGTCTTAAAGCAACATCCTGAACTTCTGGGTGTGTGTGTGTGTGGGGGGAATCACTTGCCTAATGAGGGGGGTGGGTGGGAATCACCGCTTGAATAAGGACTAGAAAGAGGGGTGGGTGGGACAGAATGGGATTCACTGCACTGTGTTGACACCACAATAGAGTTGTAGAGCTGATATGTCCTAATTGAAACCTGTTCATGTGGTTCCGTACAAAAGATGCCAGTGTTTCCCCCTCCTCACAGCCAGTTGCCTTTCAGAAAGCAGTCAAAAGGCATTCATTAAACGAGGAACCCAAATTCCTTATTGATGCAATTGGAGTAGCTGAGATGTAGAGTTTACAAAAGGCAAACCCCACTTCCTGCTCGGGTGCTCATTAGAAATTCCGCGTCCAGCCGCGTCAGACATTAATGTGATTGACGATGAAGCCATTCAATCTGTCGTTTTTTCTTCTTCTTTTAAAAAAAAATGCTTGGTGGTGTTTCGGTTCTTGATTTTGTTACTTTGGAGTATTTATAAAGCCGAGGAAACTACACTTTAAATACCGCACAGCAAGTGGGAAACACTTGCAGTGAGAACTGGATGCTTGCCCACTTAGAGGGAAAAGCACATCAGAAGGATTTCTCCTTTAGGAAAAGTCAGTGGATCGAAGGAGGGAAGTGGAAATCAATTAATTAACTCTTTTGATAACCTTGCTGAGCGATGTTTTCATGATTCAATTAGCGATATATGTAGATATAGATATTTCAGTGTGAAGGCAATGTTTCAGCCTGATTAGGGGGAAATAATGATGGGTACTTTTAATCCAAAACCACCATCCCTCAACTGTCATGACAAAATATGATAAACTGGAAACGCCCTGTGATATTTTATGCTAAAATACAATCCATGCTGCCTTCCTTATGAAATAGTCCTCTTTCCTCCACATTGAGACAAACTGGGGGCATATTCATAAAAAGATGGCAAATCATTTCACCACCTCTATTGCATAACTTGATTTGGCTTTAGTACACTGCCCATTTCTGACCACTTGGGAGGGAATGTTCTCTAAAGCAGTTTCACTGCAGCAGTCTAAAGGGGGAGGGGGAGCATGCATGTTCTGGATTGCTTTGCTTTCTGAGAAAAAAATAATGAAAGTAAATCACTTTGAACTGGGTCAGAGGCGAGAAGTGCATCATTCCCGCAGTGTTAAGGCACTGGAGGTGATTTCAGGTAAATCAACCTGCATCCTGGTTTTAGGGGGACTGCAAGCAGAAAGCAAGCAAAGGGCAGCTTCAAAAGGTTATCAGGATGGAAACTTGTACTGTGCATTCATGAAAAGCCAAGAGTCAAAGATTTTGAGATTATTTAACAATGCAGGATATGGTGAACTTTATGTGGGAGGCATGGTTTTCTTAGCCAACATCTTTTTTGGGGATTCACATAACATGACCATGAAAATGAATATATCTAGTGCCACCAGAGGACCAGCATCAGAGTTTATAATTTATGTGTATGCTGAGGTTTTAATATGTATGCTGAGGATTCAGGCATGCTACAAGTACTTTTAAAAAGCTTCTCTGCATTGGTGGGGAAATGTCAAGCCCATACAAAATGTGGAAAATTAATATCACTGAAATTTGTTAACATAGAATATATTTTGCTGATCTTTGATTCGTGGCAACCAAATCTGCTTGGAAGCATATGCACTAATGCTAGGCAAACCAGAGACTGGTTTTACTGTGAAAATAATGGGTCCATTCATCAGCAACTTCGAATTTTCAATCAATTACAGTGACAAAGGGGGATGAAAATGTTGTCAGAGTGACTGCAAACACAGGCATGGTTGCAGATCTCTGGCCATACTTGAAAGAAATGCCTACACAGACCCCAAAGCTCATACTTCCGTATGGAAAAACCTATGATTGGAATGATGCATTTTATAATTCAGTGAAGGGGGGGGGGATAGAGTTTCAGAAAAGGAAACCAATGAGAATCCAAATGTCAGACAGTTGAGCTATTTATGTGACATTGTAAACGGCCATTCTAATGATGCACATTTACCATGTGAAAATACTGCTCAGGCATTTTCAAAGTCAATTGCTTCCATTTTCCTCTGAAGGACTCCTAAGAGGCTATATTTATATGTGCGTATCTTCAGCAATAAACACAGATGAATGTGCAATTATCACGACCGTCATCTGAGAAAGACACTGCTGGCTTACTGTACAGTTTATACACGCCACTGCCAACAACCTCCATCTACAGAACTTTCAAAAAAGCTGAATTGAATCTAAAAAATGATTCCAGGTGGTAGAAGCCGATTATACATTGTTGGGTCTTCTTGGTCTCAAGAGAATGAAGCCATGTTTCATTCATTTATGCTTTACAAAACATAAAACAAACAAACCTAGCCAGGGAACAAAAGTTTGAGTCCAGTGGCACCTTCAAGACCAACGAAGTTTTATTCAAGGGGTAAACTTTTGTGTGCACGCACCCTTCCTCAGACACATTGAAATGGAAGTTATCAGTCCATACATACAGGTAGAGGTTGAACAGCAAACTAGCATACACCATAATGAAGATGTTTTAACAGGTGTGAGAACCAAACAGGAATAACAAGCTAAGTTTATGTGGTAACCATTTGTATGGCTGCAATTCCAAGGGAAAAACACAGTGAAACAAATAAATATGTCAACATTGGAGACTGATGTGCAATTGTATCCTTCTTAATTGTGGGATGCTAAAAGTAATTAACTGAGACCCAGTTGTTATGCTCCATCTGTCTCTTCTAACGCATGGAGGTAACTTAACATGGCTACCCACCTAAACCTAGCCAGGGTTTTCCATTCAAAGTCTAGGACAACCAAAGTCTAGGACAACCAAGATTTAGATGGCAGATCTTCTACTTTTAATATTATGCAGAAGTGGGAAACTGATAACATGAAGGCTGCCATCTACTGAGTCAGCAGTTGTTATGCTCCACCCGTCTCTTCTAACGCATGGAGGTAACTTAACATGGCTACCCACCTAAACCTAGCCGGGGTTTTCCATCCTGTATCATTCAAAGTCTAGGTCAACCAAGATTCAGATGGCAGATCTTCTACTTTTAATGTTATGCAGAAGTGGGAAACTGAGAACATGAAGGCTGCCATCTACTGAGTCAGACCACTGGACTATCAAGATCAGTACTGTCTACTCTGACTGGCAGTAACTCTCCAGGATTTCAGGCAGATGGCTATTCACATCACCTGCTGGCTCATCCTTTTTCAACTGGGGAAGCCAGGGATTGAACCTGGAACCTTCTGCAATGCAATGCAGATGCTCTGCCACTCAGCCACAGTCTCATGATTCTGTCCATTTCTCCATCTGTATCCCATCCTTTCTGCAAGGATCAGAATAGCATGCATCAACACTGTGAGGTAGATTACATTGAGGGTAAATTACTGGCTCAAGATCACTTCGTGGCTGAGTGGAAATTTCAATATGGATTTTCTAGGTCCTAGCCTGAGATTATAACCAATCCACCATACTGGTGGTCTGACAGACACTGACTCACCATGATATCAATGGCCCCTGCTGACAGACACTCAGCTGCCAACCTCTGCAGCTGGCCACATAACCTTCTAATAAAGAACAATAATATTCAGGCCTTCTGTAGGATATCAATGCCAAAGAATCATTTTTAGGTGGGAATGTCACCACAAGGCCATTTCTTCCACTCCTTATTTATTTGTGCTTCAAGGTTCTCTGGAGAGCCAGCTCCTAGGTGGCAAAATGACAAGTTGATGTGCTGTGGAACATGTTTAAAATCCCCCCCCCCCGACATAGCATCATGGGATCTCACCGCATGAGTGGACATGTTTTCACAAGACCGCTTCACATTAGCACTGAAGGGGAGGAAAAGCACTTCCACCTCACCATAAGTTTAAGAAAAGAAAGCTGAAATTCATCTTCCCTACATGGAAGCACGCAGCTCGCAAGGGAAAGGAAACAGTAACGGGGTGCCCCTGCGTTGAAAGACTTGTGAGGGATGGACTGCAGGGAAGGAGAAAAGTCTGCAGAATTATCAGTCAATGCGGAGATGAGGGGCACAGCCAGTGCTTTCAATAGTGGACAGGTGGGCATTCCACTGCTTGGGATAACATTTTCTATTGTGGGATACGGGGCTGGTTGTCTGGTTAATGTGGTGGCACAATGGAGACCCCAGTGCACGGCAGGGGCTCAGTTTGCTCCTGGCCATCAGCTGCACAGAAGGTGATGCAATCACCTCCAGGACCCATGCTATCATTATCCAAATCTGAGCAGAACCTCTGAGGCAAAGATGTCCGGATTCAGCTCACAGCTGACTAGCAGAAGTATGGGATAAGGCGATGAGTGTACCTTGCTTGTGGCAACCCAGGTGGGATCTCAGAGAGAAGCTGGTCTTTTCCCTAGTCGCTTCACACGCTTCCTTCTCCTAAGCCCAAATGAGT